TTTCCTCTACTTCTTTTGTATGTTTGTCACCCTCTTGTGACCTGCTATTACCGGGGTGCCTTGATAGTGGAAGCAAACCTTGTGCTGTTTAAGCTAAAGAGATGAGCAGTCTAAGTCTGATTCCCTGTAAAGACTTCTCTGTTGACACCCACCCCTTGGCACTCATATGACCTTATGCAGTTGCGAGCACCGTAAAACCCTCTACTATAAAAAAAAAAGTCTTTCTTCTTTCCTTTCCTTTCATTGTTTGTTTATTTGGCTTTTCCAATGCACTTAATGAATGACCTCTGTCACATGGATAGTGGGTGGTTGGCAGGTGCTCTGGTGAGGTTTGCTCCTTCTTTCCTATCAAACACCTATCATCCTTATCTCCCCTCCTTTTTTGTGTTCGTTACTCTCTTGAAACACCTCCAATCTTCGGCGCTTGTATGACCTTATTGTGTTGCAAGTGCCGTAAACTCTTACTGAAACTAAAACTCACATGGATGTTCTTATCTTTACTTAAACTTAGCGTTTGACATCGTAATAAGTGTAGACTTTCTTTTGTCTCTTAGAACCCCCTACGAGGCAAGACTTCCAGCCAAAGCAAGTGCAAGTCCTATCTCACACCGTACCGGTCAGTCGTCCGTCCAGGGGTGACATTGACCCCCATATGTTAATGAGCATGTCGTCTGGTGGAGGGGAATCCATCCAGAAGGTGTGGCAGATGCTGGAGGAGTCTGTGACCAGCGGTGACCCCTCCTCCTCCCCTCCCTCCCCCAGGGCTGTGATATCAGACTCTCAGAGGAGAGGAACTGGTAAAGTTAACTCTTGAAACCCTGAGTTTTTTCTACAGTCACCTCAACCTGGTGCACTATGTTTCATTATAACCCCAAAAGCTTGCCTCCAGCTTTTAAGTGGGGGAAACAAAGGCTTAGTCATTATTAAAAAACTTGGTTCGGGAATAGCTCCGAAAAACAAGCAAAAACTAGCACTAAATAAAATGAAACAGCAAAAGTACCAGCATCCAATGGTTTAAAGAGTTAATGGCTATACAGTGTGACTTACTTAATTTAGTACAGTCAAAACTTCTGAGAGGACCACCCATTGTTGAAGAGAAAAGTGGCTATATTAGACCGGTGGCTGTCTTACATAGTGTTATTATAATGTAACAAAAAAAATGCAAATGGAAAGAGGCCGTTCGTACAGGTGATTGTCATATACAGGTGGCTGTTAGAGCAGGCTGGACTGTACTTACACAGTCTATGTATTGAGTCAAGCTTTAAGCGTGTAAACGGAAGAAATAGATCAGATCAACTATTTTTTGTTATAAAACAATTGCTGAGGTCTGTGAGTGTGTGTATATATCTTTAATAAATATCAGGAGTCCACATGCATTTTAAATAGTGTAAAGGTGCAGTGAACTAACTTTTGTATCTCCTTTCATCATTTAGACCTGAAGGATTTTTTTGTGTGAGGTGAAAATTTTTTAAGAAATTAGGCACATGGTTAGACCACAGAACCATCAGTTTTCTACTTTGCCTGGGCACAACACATGTCTGCGTGCTCCACTTATGGTCCTGAGACCTTCTCAGGACTTGAGATTTTTGTTAAAAATATCAATCCTTTGAACAGAGGCAAAGGTAGAACTAAGTATCTTGCCTTCGTTAACTATGTGAAACAAATTAAAAAGTCGTGTGTGCATTTTGCACGCATAAAATTTTGAGTAGTTGAAATTTTGAAGAAAGAGATCCATATACTTTCCTATTTGAGAAATAATTGTGGTTCATACAATAAGTTAAGAATACCTCCAAAGTAGCGTTTGGTTTCATGAAAGTTGAACCATGCAGTGTTATGGTAGGAAAAATGACTATACTCTTATCGTATGTTGCAGTTTGAGCCCAAGAATGGTCATAGGTCATGATGTTACTTCTGTATTTCCACAGTCTTACTCTTGCTATAGATTATATAAATGTACTGTGTGTAAACCTGTTCCTTTTATTTGTTTACACATTCTCTCTGTGCTTCCAGTATTGTTGTTGTTACAAGAAAAAAGAAAAAAAGTTTATCATCATTTGCAGAGTGTACTAAAAAAAATTTGGAGTCACTAATTTTTTGTGAAAATTGTGGTTATGATGTCTTGATGCACACTTGTTGCTTAAGTTTTGATACACAATGTCGTAAATAGGGTAGAAAAAAATATCTTCATTCCAGGTTGCATTGGTCATTTCTGCAATTTTTCAGACAGAAACATTTTTCTTCACCTTTCTTCTGTTTCTTTCCTAAATTGATTTTCCCCAAGTCTTTCTTAATTTTCTCCTAAACAGGAAGATCGGCCTTGAAAAAATCAACGGAAGTTTTAAGTCCCCGCAGCCAAGACAGGTTTCAGCTTGAGGGTCAGCCCGCAGCCTCGGAGAGCAAGTCGGGCAGTGGAAAAGTTGGGAGAGCGGCAGCCTTGAAATACGCAGAAAATGTCCGAAAGCTTTCACAACCCAAGCCAAAAGTCAGGAACTATAATGTCAGAGATGGCTCTGGTTCCAGATGATACCCAAGATATATATATATCTGTTGTGGTTTTCCTTTGTCTAAAATTTGTCACTTAGAAAAAGGGCCTTATTGTGTTGCAAGTGGTGTAAAACACTTATTAAAACCCCAAAAAAGGGCAAAAATGCAAAGGCTGCTGAACTGACATCAACGGTTGCCATTCTTGTGGCTGTATTTGACAAAAAGAGAGAGAAAGGAGGAACAGTAGAGCTCAATAGTCATCAATATTATTTTTATTCCATTGTAACAATGACTTTTTTGTTTATGTGTACATAAATATATAAATAAATTTGCTATATATTTTTAAGGACCTTCCTCTTCTTTATTGTTTTTCTTACATTCCTTAATAGGTACTGTAAAAAAGAAAGGAAGGAGGGGGTTTGGGGGAAGGGGGGGTTGTCGTTTGATGTTTTTCTTATGGACATCAGTTACTGGACTGACAACACTGCCATACGCTGACAAAGCGCCTTTCTTTATTCACAGGAGTTCCAAATAAAGAGACTTTTTGTTAACACCATGGCTCGATCATAAGCCTCTTCTTCTTGCCTAGCACCTGAGAGAGTCTTCTGTTATTGCCCTGTTTGGCACCATTTTGGGATTCCTCAGTCCGCTGATGTCAGTGACCTACCTCTATCTATTGAAAGAATCAAGTGCCATACTTCTTCATTCAGAAAACATTATGGAACGGAAAACGGCTATTGGGCCTAGGTCTATGTCTGAAGGATAGGGTGAGAGATTAAAGAGACCAACATGCTTCATTGGCACCAGGCCCATACAGCCAAGTTGTGAATTGTTGATACGGATGTACTGACGAGAAACTCTCGGTTACTTTACCAAACTTATCAAACGCAGAGTTAATTCAACGGAAATGTAATAAAATGGCAGTCCATTTGGCAAACAATTGTAACAGCTTCCATTAGCTACCTTTTCAGCATTACGAAAACAAGTACATTATGTAGTGGAGTGCACACTCGAGGTTTTGGCAGGGTTTCAAAGAGTCCTTGTTCAC